TCGGTACTTGTTGGTATTAACTGATACATTTTCTGGGTGGCCTGAAGCATTCCCTTGCAGGACAAATAAGGAAAGAGAGGTGACTAAAGTATTGTTGAATGAAATTATTCCACGGTTTGGAGTACCGAAGAGCATATCTTCGGATAGGGGCACACATTTCTGTGCAAAAGTAGTGAGAGCAATAAGCAAAGCATTACAAATTAAATGGCAATTACACACACCTTACCGTCCACAGGCCAGTGGGTGGCCTTGTGGGCGAAACCCGTTTTTGATGCAGCCTTGGCACCCTACGGAAGAGGACAGGGAGCGACTGAAGAAGAAACTGCTCCTAGTCCTACGACCACTGCTGCTACAGCTGAAGGGACACTCGAGAGGGTTAGACAGAGCTCTGATACGTCACTATCAAACGGCCCAGGATTTGAATGATTTTATTGACTCATTATCAAGTTTTCGTTTAACAAGTCCGGCAAAGGCACCTTGCCTTGATTGTTATGATCCACATTGTGCTGCCTGGATAGCTTAACATTGTGGAGGTTGTGATAACACTTTTTGGATAGAACAATCATTATTATGGGATTTATGGTGTCATACTTGTGAGCACGAGCACACGTGGGGTAGAAGCTGGGAAAATGAATTAAGGAGACAGACGGGGCAAAATGCATATGCAGCTTTAAATCTTTATGAGTCTCCCGAACAGAAAATTCTTGCTTATTGTCGTTGGAAAGTACAATGTGTTGTGAATAGAATTAAGGTTCAAAGTAAATCGCGTATAGTTTCTGTAAGGTGTAGAAAATTAGTACCTTTAACACAGCGTTCAATTGTAGGGCCCTTCAGGGGAAATCCTGAAAAGGCATTAGATCATTGTATTGGAAAATTGCAAAAATTGAGTTTGCAAGTGACGGGACCAGTAAAGTTAGGAGCAGCAAAACTGAAAATAGATAAGAAAAAGAAGGCAAGAAAAGGAACGACTTCATCTAAATAAGGTTATTAGTAATTGTTAATTAGTTCCCTATGATTAGGACAATTTCACGTCTAAGGGACCCTGCCTTGTGGGACGCTGTTGCTCCATGGGACCCTGCTTCGTGGCATGCTATAGGTGTTGAAGAACAAGAACAACGATTACGAAGTAAGATACATGTTGCATTAAAGAAGGAGCTTGAATTGGTAGCCGCATATAGTAAGAAAGCCAAAGAGGCTTTACAGTCACCACCATTGAATTGGTTATATTGGATTGAAGAACCAGACTTTTATACTGGCCCTTACTTACATTCACTTCCTTGTTATGTTTGTAAAAGGGATGTTGATAAGTGCTATGCTTGGATAGCTCTGCATTGTGCTGATTGTAATCAGATTTACTGGTACTCACAAAGATCAATAGGATTTTTATGGTGTAGACCTTGTTTTGGAAGATGGATTCGATATTCTTCCTGGTATAGAGCTCTTGAGCACAGTACTGGTCTGCCAGGAAGGTCAGGATTACAACTTTATGAGAGTACAGAACAAGTGGCCATAGCATATATGAGGTGGAAATTACAGCAAGTACTTAGAGAGCTTGAAATTACTACATCCTCCCGCATTATAGCAGCTCGCTGTAAAGCTGATTTGCCTTTAAACTTACCTCATGCTATACCTGTAAGCAAAGATGCAGATTTGGAATTAGACCAGTGCATTCAAAAATTGACACAGCCTTATAATAGACATTCTAACAAACCAGGGAAAAGACAACGAAGAAAGGAAAAACAGAGAAGGCAGAAAGAAAAATAAAGCTTGTTCCTATTATACTGCTCAATGCTGTATACTACTCAACAGCTACACAGGTCTTCAACTACTAAGAATCATAATGAAAAGGACCCAAATGTTTTGGGCTATGGTACGAGCGTACCAGCGCCCTATAGGATTAGAATTTGACGAAAGAATTCGTAAGTTATAAGAAAAGGGGGGAATGAAGCCATTCATTACAATGAACAGTAGTTTCTGAGAAAGAAAAGAATTAAAAGACCTGAGGAATAAAAGAATTAAAAGACACTCTATCAAGGGAAACACAGAAGTTAATAAATAACCTAAAATACATTGTTTGGGAAAACTTTGATTAGGTAAGTTAATAAATAATCTAAAATACACTCACAAAAGAAACTTTGGAATTAGAATATTTGAAGAAGCGAAAGTAGAAGCCAAAAAGTTAAGGTGACCTGCCAAGCCATCAGAATCAAGCCAAGTGCAACAGTGATTTCTGCCAAGTCATGGAAAAACATGCCAAGGATGACAGGAAAATGCCCAAATTAGGAGAAGCTTAAAATTTAACTAAGGAAGACCAAGAGTTCCTGGAAAACCCCGCCTATACTCCTGCCTGCTTATTAATATGCATATAATAAATGATGTAATCCTTGTTCAAAATTGTATAAAAACCTGCTTTTGCTGTACCTGATTTAGAAATCCACTTGGTGATTTCTCCAACGCGTTGTCAATAAATACCTCCTGCCTATAGACCTCAAATCTAGTCTCTGGGCAGCTTATTATCGCCTTTTGGGGCAAAATTCGGCATCACATGCTCGTGGGACGTCCTCGTGACACGTACATCCCCATTCCAGAGGTAAGCGACAGACCACCAAGCCGTCAGGCAGCGCCCGAGAGACCCGTACGGGTGAGACCCAAGCATCAACGGTGTTTTTGTGTGATTTTGCTGTTGGGGCTTGTTGCCAGAGGGCAAGCCAGCCCAGATCACTATCCCCATCGGCCATTCAGGTGGGTCATGCAACACCTTAGTAGTGACAAGGTGCTCAGAGAAATCACCACACCGAACACTCCATCCTTCGTGCTCCACATCACTGACCTGTTCCCAGGACAACCAAAGGTAGACCCTCATTCCCCACACGCCACACACATGTACCTATCCTACTGGTGCCCAGCTTCTAACCCTGGGAAAAGCTACTGCAACCACCCAGGGTGGGGACACTGTGGGCACTGGGGCTGCGAAACCATTGTCACAGATGCCAGACCGTCGGGGCCTGGGTGGGATCCACAAGAGCCCGACAAATTCTTACAGTTCACTTGGGCACCCACTGGTTGCAAAACACCCATCCTCATACCTGGAAACTTCCATCGATATCGCCATAAAATCCCCAGATTTCGGAAATGCACAGATTACAACATGACAGTTTTACAGCCTCATCACCCTAGCTGGGCAACAGGCAAAACATGGACAGTAGTCCTTCAAGGGTCAAAAGAAAAGGTGAACGTGCGAAGCATTAGGCTCCAACCGTCGGCACCCCGAGCGGTTGGACCCAACAAAGTGATTAAAAGTGTGCCGAAAGGGAGAAACGCGACCCGCCCCAAAGCCTTACCCACAAGGGTCGCTGATATCCTGACCGGCCATGTAGAAGCCTTTCAGGTAGACCGTTTAGCCGAGTCAGATTTAGACCCAATCCTTCGTATGTTAGAAGCTACCTTCCTATCCCTGAACGAATCTAACCCTAACCTAACCGAATCCTGCTGGCTTTGTTACGATGTCGAACCTCCCTTTTACGAAGGAGTTGCTCTAAACACTCCCTTCAGTTACTCCACAGCAGATGCACCCAACCAATGTAGATGGGACACCCCCCGCAAAGGAATCACCCTGAGTCAAGTCACAGGCCAGGGCAGATGCTTTGGCAATGCAACCCTAGCTAAGCAGAAAGGCAACGTCTGCACCGAAGTTGTCAAACCCAACAGGAAAAACAATAAGTGGGTAGTCCCATCCGCATCTGGGATGTGGGTTTGCCAGCGATCAGGAGTGAGTCCTTGTGTGTTCCTTGCCAAATTCGATGACTCTAACGACTTTTGTGTCCAAGTTCTGATTGTTCCTAGGGTCCTGTACCGCGCAGATGAAGAAGTATACCCCCTTTTTGAGGAACCCAGCCGGCTTCACAAAAGAGAAATAGTAACAGGTATAACTATCGCAATGCTGCTGGGCCTAGGAGCAGCCGGAACGGCCACGGGAGTCTCAGCCTTGGCGACCCAACACCAAGGACTGTCACAGCTGCAGGCAACAATCGACGAGGACCTGCAGAGGATCGAGAAATCCATCTCCTTTCTAGAGAAGTCAGTCTCCTCACTCTCAGAAGTAGTCTTGCAGAACAGGCGAGGTCTAGACCTCCTGTTCATGCAGCAAGGAGGCCTCTGTGCCGCCTTGAAGGAGGAGTGCTGCTTCTATGCAGACCACATGGGAGTCGTTAGAGACTCCATGGCGGAACTCCGAAACAGACTGGCTCAGAGACAGAAAGACAGGGAAGCCCAACAGGGTTGGTTTGAATCCTGGTTCAACCGATCACCATGGCTAACCACTCTGATTTCTACCCTAATAGGTCCATTGGCAATGCTACTTTTAGCTGTTACCTTCGGACCATGCCTGCTGAACAAGCTAGTCTCATTCATTCAGACCCGCCTGGAACGGGCCAACATCCTGTTCATAGGCCGACAACAACTCCTGTGAATTCAACCAGAGAACACTGCCAGTCACAAGATTTTCTACCCGAGTTTACCAAAGCTCTTTCTTTGTCAACAACCTCATACCTTGTCTCAGTACCTATGTATATGACTACCTCGTTCTTTTGTGAAAAAGGGGGGGGAGATGTAGTAGACAGGGAGAGGCGCTCGGAAAATCTCGCGATGTCACGGAAAGCAGCAGGATTCCTCTCCCCCAACTTCTAGTGATAAGGGATCACCCAAGAATGTAGTTCCCCCTAACATTAGTAACTTTTACTCCTTGCTAACCAATTACAGTAAGGTAAGACCCCCTGACGTAGAGAAAAAACTTGCAGAGTATAAAACCCGACGAGACGGGACAATAAAGGTCTTGAACCGTCCACCATACTGGTGCTAGCGTGTGTTCTTGGCCCAAGTGACCCTGGAGAGTTTGGGTTGCCGTGCCGTTTCCTCAGAACCAGGTCACCTCGCCTTGCATCAGAAGGCGACAGGGAACATGGCACTGAGTGGGTGAACCATATTCCCTACCATGCACCAGCTGCAGGGAAAGTGGAGAGGTACAATGGACTGTTAAAAACCACACTGAAAGCTTTGGGTGGAGGACCTTCCAACTGGGAGCAGCATCTGGCAAAAGCCACCTGGTTAGTTAACACCCGAGGCTCTACTAACCGAGTGGGCCCTGCCCAATCTGAGCCTTTGCAGAGAGTAGATGGAGACAAAGTCCTAGTGGTACATGTCTGAGGTTTATTAGGGAAGACAGTTTGGATTAATGCTGCCTCAAATACAGAAAAACCCATTTGTGGGGTTGTTTTTCTTAGGGACCAGGTTGCACATGGTAGATAATGCAAAAAGATGGAAGAACATGCTATGTACCTCAGGGAGATCTGATTGTTGGGTGAGACCTATGTGTAAATATCACTGTTAACGGAATGTTATTACCATTGTCTGTGTATAGCTGTATTTTGGATGTATAATGTATGTGTTTGTGGAGTTGGAATTTATATTGCAGTAGTAAGCTGACAATATGGGGATAAGGGTTGGAATGTCCTGGGTTGACTACATGATGCTTTTATCCCCAATCGTCTTGTTCTGTTTATGCTGAATAATAAGTTTTGCACCTTTAAGACTTGTTGCAGAGAGTGAAGGGAGGAGAGAAGAAGTGTGCAGTTTGTTTTCAGACACTGCACTCACTCCTCAACATTCCTACTCCTGGGCTGTGTTGTCTGTGGATGGACAGACAGCAGGACAGAGCTCTCCTTTGCTGTCAGTTTTAGCTACCTGAGGCAAAGAAGGCAAAGAAGTTCGACTGTGGGGTTTTTTTCTTTTCTTTTCCCCTTTTCTTTGGACCTCTTTAAACCTGCTCGGGACTGAACACCCAGGGAAGCACCGGCAGTTGCACCTGTGGCCCACCGGGCTGGGCCTGGCCTGTGGCATTTCCAGCACCGGAGGGACTGATCAGAGACTGAGTGAGTTGAGCTGCAAACTGGGAAGGGGACTTGCTCAGTTTGTCAGTTCTTTTGGAGGGGCAAGGGGTTTTATTGTTTAATATTATTTAAGTTTTATTGTTTAATAAACATTTTATTTCCACTTTTCTCCAAGGACGTATTTTGCTCCCGGCCCAGTTGGGGGGAGGGGCCAACTGAATCTGCTATCCTAGAGGACCCCCCTTTGGGGATTCTCTCCCAAATTTCCTCTGAACCAGGACACCAGGGCTGTGCCCAAAGTGCCTCCTCCAGTGGGGGATGGAGCTGAAGCAGCGCACGAGGCTCTTCCCACACTCGGGGCACTCACAGGGCTTCCCTTAGTGGTGGCTCCGTTGGTGTTGGGTCAAGTGAGAGCTGCAAGAGAAGCTCTTCCCACACTGGGGACACTTGTAGGGCCTCTCCCTGGTGTGGACGCGCCGGTGGGTGACGAGGTTGGAGTTGTTCTTGAATCCCTTCCCACACTCGGGGCATTGGAAGGGCCTCTCCTCTCTGTGAATCCGATAGTGCTGGAGGAGATGGGAGCTGCTCAGAAACCTCTTCCTGCATTTATCACACTCGTAGGGCCGTTCCCCAGTGTGGATGCGCCGGTGCTTGACAAGGGAGGAGTTGTCCCTGAATCCCTTCCCACAGTCGGGGCAGTGGAAGGGCCTCTCCTCTGTGTGAGTCTGATAGTGCCGGATGAGACCGGAGCTGGCCGGAAACCGCTTCCTACACTTGGAGCACTCATAAGGTTTCTCCCCAGTGTGGGTCCTCTGGTGGTTGATCAGACTGGAGCTCTGGCTGAAACTCTTCCCACACTCCCCACACTCATAGGGCCGTTCCCCAGTGTGGGTCCTCTGGTGCTTTGTCAGGCTGCAGGTCCGGCTGAAGCTCTTCCCACACTCCCCACACTCATACGGCCGTTCCCCAGTGTGGGTCCTCTGGTGCTGGCTCAGCCTGCAGCGCCACCTGAAGCTCTTCCCACACTCCACGCACGTGTGGGGCTTCTCCCCATCAAGGAGCTTCTCATGGAGTACCAGCTCCGAGCTCTGGCTCCATCTCCGGCCACCTTCCTGGCCCTGGCTGGTTCTTTCCCCCTCAGATCCCTGCCAGCTGCGTTTGCAGCCCCTCCTCGTGCGGCATCTCCGGGCCTTTTCCTCCCCATTGGCTTCCTGCGCCATGGAGCCGCTCAAAACGGCCTCTGCCACCAGGTTCTGCTGCGGGCATTTGTCCTCCCTGCTTTCCATGCTCAGCTCCTGCTCTGGGGGAGGAAGGACAAGGACAGGATGGGATTTGCCTCTGTGCAACAGGCAAGGACAAGGAGATCCCCCCAGGGCTGTGCTGCAGCCAGGGCCGTGCTGGGCTGGGAGATGGAGAGGCACAGAGGGGAAAGGGGCACTGACTTCCTCCTCACCTGCCTCCGTGTCCCGGGACATCTTCCTCTTCCTTGCAGCCTCCCAGGGGTTGACAATGGGAAATCCTGGGTTGGGGAAAACAAGGGATGAGCGCGTTTGCAGGAGCGTCGGGGGGTAGCAAGGTCGGGACGGACTGAGACGAGAGATCTCTGAAGCCAGGTCATGGAACTTGCGGTTTATTGCAAAGGGCCTGGGTGCAGGGCCCTGCTCGGAGCTGCCAGCCACAGATTGGAGCAGGCCTGAGAGAAGAGAGGGGCAGAGAGAATGAGAGGGTAAGAGAGTAAGGTTCCCGATAGAATACAATAAATCTTCTTCTGTGTTGAATATTCTATTTCTCACTAACCAATCTAGTACAAGATACAAATCCTAGAGTATTTACATACAGCCTGCAGGATTCATTACGTCACCATACTGTGTTATATTTTAAAACCTAAAATGCACACTTTGGACCCTTCTGCTGAACCAGTAGGGTCTGCTCTGACCCTTGGACCTGTCTGCAAGCAGAGGGAATTGTTTCATCAAACAGGGATTACCTTATATCGGGCCACACCACTGTTTTCCAGTAGTTCAGTAAGTGAGGTATCTCAAACCTTGTTTCCATTTTATCTTGCTTTTACTTTCTATATTCTCAAAATCATTTGCCAGACAATCATATCTATAAGGCTTTCCTATTTCTTCTTCCCCAACACACCTTTAGTTTCAAGGTCCTTCTGCTTGAGTCCATCTCTACAAGTCACAGGACACCTGAGCTCCACAATATCTTCCAAAACCACAGAGATTCAGCTCCGGAAAAGCCTCCCAGGAGCTCCCCGCGCCTGGTCCCTCCCCTCTGGTGTTCAGCAGTTCCCCCCTGTCCCACCTGCTGGGATCACACTTGGATTGGGGATCCCCCTTCTCCTCGGTGCCCGCCCTGTCCAGGCTGCTGGCAGTCCCAGCAATACCAAAAGCTCCCCCCTCTTCGCTCTCCCCATTTCGGGATGCCGGGGCTCTTTGGGCTCCCGGGCTCCCTTCTCCCCTCATTCTCTGCTCTGGGCTGCAGCGGCTCCAAGGAGTCCCCCCTGCCCCTCTCCAGGCTCTTGAGGCTCCCGCCAGTGGCGGCGCTCCCCCCTCTCTGGGCTCCCCACTTTGGGCTCCTGGGGGACACAGGGCTCTGCTCCTCCAGGCTGCCTCTGCCAGCAGCCGCCACCGGCACCCCCCATTGTCCCCCCGAGGGGCCTTTTCCGCTCAGCCTTGGACTGCTTCATTCTCCAAACATCCCCCCAAAAACCCAACTCGGAGCAACTGGGAGTGACTGGGAACATGCTGGAGGGAACTGGGCTACACTGGGACATACTGGGAGGGACTGGAATGAAAGCGAGGGTAAAAGAGAGCAACTGGAACCACGTGGAGCACAACTGGTTCATACTGGCAGGGACTGGGAGCACACTGGGCTCATCTTGGGATCATACTGGGAGGGACTGGACTAATACTGGGAGTATCTGAGAGCAACTGGGAACACACCCTGCATATCATCCCCCATACTAGGCCTGACTGGGAGCAACTGGGAGCACGCTGGCAGCAAATGGCATCATACTGGGACTGACTGGGTTGATCTAGAAAGCGACTGGAACCATGCTGGAGGCAGCTGAGACCATACTGGGAGACATTGGAAGCAAGTGGGATTATACTGGGACCACACTGGGAAGGCTGGCATGCGACGGGGATCAAACTGGAGCTTACTGGGATCATATTGGGGTTGAAAGTGAGTGACTGGGATCACAGTTTGGGCTACTGGGAACAACTGAAAGAAACTGGGATGATGCTGCAAGCAAACTGGAGGAAATGGGAAGGACTGGATGCCTGCTGCAGGCAACTGGGATATACTGAGCATGACTGAGGGATCATACTGAGAGAACTGACACCTTACTGGGGCCACTGGCAGTGCCTGGAAATGACTGCAGACATGCTGGGGGCAACTGGGATATACTGGGAGTGTCTGTAACCATACTGGGGGGACTGGAATCACACTGGGAACAACTGGGACCATGCTGGGGAGAGCAGGGACCACATTGGGGGCAACTGGGAGTGAGTGGGACCATGCTGGGAGGGACTGAGATCATATGGGGAGTGATTCAGACTAGAGCAGGGACAACTGTGTTCAACTGGGACCATACTGGGAGTGTCTGTAACCATAGGGGAGTGATGGCACCACACTGGGAACAGCTGGGCCGATGCTGGGAGCAACTGAGATCACACTGGGTGCACTGGCATCAGACTGGGAGTGACTGGGAGCAACTGGGATTAGTCTGCAGGTGACTGGGATCATACTGGGAGTGGATACAGTCATACTGGGATTATACTGGGCATGAATGGAACCTGACTGGGGGTTACTGGGAGCTACTGGGCCCATGTTGGGAGGAAAATGTGACACACTGGGAGCAACTGGGATCGGCTGGAAGGTACTGGAACCATGCTGAGAGGACTGAGACTATAACTGGGGGAACTGGGATCATACTGGGAGCAACTGGGGCCACCCTTTGAGCAACAGACGGAAACGGCGATTATGCTAGAGGAAACTGGGAGTAACTGGGAAAGACTGGGATCATTCTGAGCTAACTAAAACCTACTGGGAGTGTCTCTAACCATACTGGGCAGACTGGAACCACACTGGGAACAGCTGGAATCATGCTGGGAGCAACTGGGACTATTTTTGGGGAATCTACCCTGGAGGCAACTGGGCACCACTGGGACCCTGCTGGGAGGGACTGGGACTGTTCTTGGGGCAACTGGGATCATAATGGGAGGAAATGGGAACATCTGGAATTATGCAGGCAGCAACTGGGATCACACTGGGATCCATCCCAGTGAGAGCAGCTGGGTCCATACTGGGTTACACTGGGATCTCATTGAGAGCGACAGGAATCATACTGGGAGTGACTGGGAGTGGCTGGCTTGGTGGATGTTGGGGGGTTTAGATTTTGGGGGATTGTATTGGCATTTTGAGGGGGAGTTTTTCTGGGGGTATTTGGGGGCTTATTGAAATTTTTTGTGGTTTTTTTTTTTGGGGGGGGGGTTTTACTGGGATTAAGTTGCAATTTTTGTCATTCTCAGAAATTCTGGGGGTTTTATTGGGATTTTTAGAAGATTTTGGGGCTTTTTATTGGAATTGTGGTGGCATTGAGTGGGATTCATTGCGGATTTGGGGTTTTTTTGCATTTTTGGTGGGGATTTGGGGGGTTTTGTGGGGTTTTTTGGGTGTTGCCAGGATTTCCTTGGACCTTGGGGGAGATTTTGTGGGACTGTTCAAGGTTTTGGGGATATTTTTGGGGGATTTGCAGAGTTTAATCTGGATTTTTGGCATTATTGGGATTTCACAGGATTTTGTGGGCATTTATTGGGATTCTAGGGTGTTCTAATGGGATTTTGAGAGATTTAATTGGGATTTAGTGGGTTTTATTGGGACTTTTGCAAGTTTTAAGGAGATTTTGGTGCTAATCAGCCCTTCCCCACACCCAGGGAATGCCACAAAGCCCCCCTAAAGCTCTGGAAAAACCCCACAATAGCCCCCAAAATTACAAGAAAACCCTCAAAAACCCCAGAGAATCTCCAAAAATCCCAGTGGAACTCAACAAAATTTAAAAGGAGTCCCAAAAATGTCAACAAATCCCCCCCCCAAAAAACCCCCACAACCCCAACACAATCACCCACAATCCAAAACCCCACAAAAAACACAATCCCCCAAAATCACGTAACCATCCCAAAACCCAATAATTCTCCCCAAAAACCCCAACAATTCCCCACAAACTCTCAAAAAAAACCCCAAGCCCAAAAAAAGCTCCTCCCGAAATCCCCAAAAACCCCTCTCAAAATCCCCCAAAAATGCCACAAATCCCCACAAATCCCCCCAGACTCAGCGGGGCTGTCCTGGATCAGAGGGCACCGGCTGGTGGAACAGGAGCCACTTCAGGGGGCCCTCGGAGCTTTTTGGGGAGGGGGCACCATGGGAGACCACCAAAAACCGGGGTGGGGGGGGGGGGCCCCTGCTGTGCCCCCTCCCCCCCGAAACCCCCAGACCCCGGTTCAGGGTGGGCTTGGGACCCCCCGGGACCCCGAAATCTCCCCCGGACCCCTCCAGGAACCCCAAACCCCCCAGAGCTCCCCCAGTGTTGGCCCAGAACAACCTCGGACCCCAAAAACCTCCCCAGGACCCTCAGACCCCCCCATTTCCCCCGAAAATTCATCCCAGACCCACCTGAGACCCCCCAAATCCATCAGACTGCCCCAAATCCCCCTCAGGCCCCTCAATCCCCCCCAAAGCCTATGAAATCCCCTCAGACGCCCCCACATTTCTCCAAAGCCACCTCAAAACCCCCCAGATCCACTCGAAACCCCACAGTTACTCTCACAATCCCCCAAAATCCCCTCAGACTCTCCCAATTCCCCTCAAATCCTCCTAAACCCACCTGAGAACGCCCCAGACTTAAGTTCCCCCCAAAGTTCCCTAAAGCCCCCTCAGACCCACCAAAGTCCCCTCAGACCCCCGCATTCCCCCCAAAA